AGTGCCTCAATTACATAATATGAAAACTTTTAAATTGGTATGGTACCAAGTCAGCAGCCAATCTTTCAGAAACAGTTTATGCTGCAGTAACTCGGTAAATCATAGCAATTTTATTAGTGCATTTTGCATGCTACTAACGATAGATCTACATATTGCATTTAATGTTTCATATAAAGATAGCTCCCCCCATAGACCATGTTATAAGAATCACATTAGGAAGGGACTAATGTATTAATTCTAGGGACTAAGCTATACAATCCACGTGGTTTCTACATTTCTTACCTCTGCTGTTAAAACTTTAAAATAATTGTAGCTTTAAGTGTCTTTAGTGATGATTGTATATTTCTGTCAAGAATTCTGCATTGCTGCTTTAAAGAGGAGCACAGTCCTCATCCACAAGAGTGAGGTGTGCAGCAAGGTAAAGGTAAAAGGTAAAAATATGTTTGGGGGCACTCATACAGCATCTGTGTAACTCTTAAAGCAGCTGTATCTTTTCCAAACATATTAAGGCAGCTTTCCACAACTGTTGCACGGCCCCAGGAAAAGACACTTTCAGCGGTTGCAGACAGATGCTATATGTCTACTCTTGCAAGCTTCAAAATACTTTTTACTTTTAAATCCACAGCAGTATACAGCCCTCTTGTTTTTTTAGATTTGAGAGTCATATTCCCATAGAATATTTCAGTGTGATTTATCAATCTCATGAATCTTATACTCTAAGCAATCTTGTACTTCATTGAAGAGGGTTTTCCCACCCACCCGTTTCTGTTCCAGTTTCTAGGACTGTTGACAACCTCTTCCAGACTGAGGGATTCTTCAGAACACCATAGATGCAACACTGTGTTACTGACACAGTAAAGGGGAACTGACAGGTATCAGGGAAGGAACCTACAATTTGAATGTAAGAGGAAGAATTTGGGATTCCTTCCCCATCCATTACTAGAGAGTGCCCTCCTTTTTATTGTTTAGGGAGGCATTGAAGACATCTTTGCTGTTCAGCTTTCAGTGTTTATAGACTGTTGCTGGATGCTGGGAAGGTTGGCTTTTATTCAGTGTACAGTATAGACTTTATAATTTTTAATAGCATTGTTTTACACCACTTGGAATATGGATGTCTAGAATATTCCTTGATTAATTCTGTCATGCAAAGACAATTTTTCAATTGTCAGTATTTCAATATATAGATTAATTAATAATTAGATAGGAAGAACAGAATTTCTTAGGATGATTTATTATATTTGAATAAGGTGATCAGGTAGCATGAGCCAAACAAATATCATTTTTGAGAGCTTGGATTTCCCTTTTTAATAAAAGTTAATTTTTTAAGTACTCAGACAAGCTATGTGAGAGAAATACATTACTATTGTGTCATAATAATATAATTTTACTTATTTCTGAATGGCAACTATCTCTGGGTAAATCAACAATAATGCAATTTTTGCCTTAGATATAATAAGAACATTTTGTCATAACGGCTGGCTCCCAAGATTGCAAAATCTATCATATAGAATAGATGCAATTTGTGTTTGCACAATAGTTATCCAAGACATTTGTTTTAAGATATGAATATTGCAAATCTACTGATTTTTTTTACACTATAATTGGCATGTTGTTAAAAAGCTAACTTGTGAAGAAAAATAAGCATTTACAGGGCTTGGATTATTTTAAAGTTTTAATGCCAGAGGTACTCAGTGTGGTAATGAACTCAATGATTACTTTTATGTACTGAGGTGGGTCTCTGAATATACCTATTGAAGCATGTAAATGAACATATAAAATGACTTTATGTACATGCAGTACATGTGATCAACACTCTAGTCTTTAGGATATATTATAGGAGCAAGTTCTACTGCATGTGTACCCACTTAAGGCTCTACAGTACAAGTAGTAAGTTCAAACCCACACCCCAGTTTGCATATAATCTAGGTGACTACAGCATGTTCACTAATAAATGGATATTTTGCAAATAGTGAGCATGTCATATCTGCATAGCTTAAGGTAACATTAATTTTTCAGAGTTTGATAAATGTTAAAGCAGTTTATCTCTTACTGGAGGTAACTTTGCTAGAAAAATAGGGGAAGATGCAGTACAGCTTATTATATTAGCCGTAGTTTACAAATTTTTAAACCATTGTATTGTCAACTAAAATAGAATTCAGAATATTTATGCAAAACAATACAGTGGATACTCTGAATTTTAAAAATATTCATAATTTCTCTAGCACTTTTTATCAGGCTAGGCAGTCATCATAATTATCAAAAATGTGTGGTGAATTAATTCAATTTTAGAAATGGAAAAGTTATGTTACTAATGAATACATTTATGGCTGAGCAGAAAGTCTGCTTCTGCCCTTAGCAAAGTACAGTACTTGAGCATTCTTTCAAATAAGCTGTTACTTAATGTCTGTATTGTCAGGCACAAGCAACCAGTTCTATACATGAAGGGTTCAAATTGAATATACTTACTTTATTGTGTTCTATCTATGATAAAAGACTGCTTGCCTTTTTTGACACTAACAAATAAGATTCCGTGGAACCTGGCGAGAGGTCAGTCCGAGATCTTTTGTAGCTGTGCAGCAACTCAAGGCTAACTCCTTACTTGATTCTTCCTCCGTGTCTGGCTCCTAGTTTCCCAATATCACCCTTCTCCACAAAAGCCCCCCTTCCTTTTCCATGTTGCCTCTAATGTCTGAGTTCTCATAGGAAATTCAGACGAGAATTGTCTGCCCCAAGTCTAGAATTTTCCCCAGCCAGGTGGTAAGATACTACATATCCCTTGAGGCCTGCCACCATCTTAGGTCACCTAAAGTTTCACAGTATCCTCCTGTGTGGTGTCTGGAGGACACTTCCATGACCAGTTGTCTCATTATCATGGCAAAGCTACAGAAAGGTAATTGTCCCTTACAGTGATCTTATTAATTATCTTTATAATTGTGGACTGTGTGCATCTGGATTTCACCATTCTGAAATTCTGTCTCTTGCTTTTGAGGAACAAAAAAGGTAGGTACTAAAGCTGGTGACCTGAGAGTCTAATAAATCCTTTCTGCAAATTGGAATCCAAATAAGATCAACAGCTGATATTGGATATTTCTTCTTAGATGGAATTCTGGCCCCGCTTTCTATCAGTGCTGCTTTGTTCCAATCCACATCTGCCAACAACTTGAAATCGTCTATGCCTTCTTTGAGCTGCTGAATCTCGCAGCTGTCTGTCATGATTCATACTCAGAGTCTCTAAAGTGCCCCTTAATTCTGTCCATCAAGTTCTGGTAATTGTCCATGACCTGGTCATTTCCTTTTAGGATTGGCAGCACTCATTTAACTTGCCTTTAGCAAGCTTAGCACGAAAGATAGCCTTGCACATTCTGTAGGGAAATCTTCAGTTCACTCTGAGTGATAAAGTTCTTATCTGCTTCTCCGTCAAATGTTTCTGGCAAATCCCCATGGCAACACAGCAAAACTGGCTGTGCAGCTGGAATTGCTGGGGGTATTGGAACAGCCAGAGTCGCTGGCAGCAGGGTGTTCTTAACCTGTTGCTGAACTAGGTGAAGCACTATGGCCTCCAAGTTCTTCACTTCGGTCTCTATCCCTTCCTGATGCCATAGCGAGGCATCCACTATATTTTGACGTGATTCTTTGGGTTTTGGCTACCCCGGTAAACTTTCTCCTTTCCCCAGAAGAAAGAGAGAGAAATCTGGGAAGATTAATGTCAGGCACAAGCAACCAGATCCACATGTAGAAGGTTCAAGTTGACTAATTTGTTCTACCTATAAAACAAGTATCTGCCCAGACTGCTTGCCTTCTCTTGAGAACCAACAAAAAAGTTCCATAGAACCTAGGGGGTGTCATGTGTGTGTGTGTCAGTCTTTTGCAGTTGTGCAACAACTCCAGGCTAATTCTCTTTACCTTGCCTGGCTTGATAGCTTCTCAGCAGTTATGTAGAATTACAAAAACTTCCAAGGATTCACCTCTGGTTCTTTAATCATGTTTTGGCAAACTTCAGGTTTAATCAGCTATAAAATTAAATCTTGTAAAACTGTCTGAATTATTTATATGTATTACTTGGCATACAGTCTATTTGTTTAGGAGGAAAAATCTCAGATCTGAGCTGCCTCCCAGGTTAAAAAAAAAAGTCGTAACTATATAAACATTACTTAATGGTCAACATATCTAATTATCTAAAGGTAGTCCTCGACTTACAACTGGTTGCTTAGTGACTGTTCAAATTTATGACGGACCTATTTTGGAACTATTTATGATCCAGTTCTGAAGTTCCAATGATTGGGCTTCTATAGTCACATGACCAAACTTTGGGTGTTTGGCAACAAAGCTGCATTTAAAACTATTTGCAGCATCCCACAGGCATATGACCTTGTTTTATACCAGATTTGCCAAAAACTGGCACTTCCTGTTTTTGGAAAAATTAAGCCCATGGCAAACCATGGATTTGCTTTAAGCCTTTTGTTTAAAAAAAAAGGCTATAAAATTAAGTCAGTCCTGTGAGCAATCTATTTTATGAGCTAATAACTTTCAACCATCTACTACAATCAAATGTCAAGGACTACTTATATTCATTTGTAAATGCCACGTTTCCATGGAGTGAGCTGGGCAGTTCATCAGTTCACACTGTCATGAAGCAATAGTGTGGTAGTTCTTCAAAATTTTGACTTTCCAGTTAATTCATATCTAACAATCTGTTGCCAAATTGCATAGACAAGGTGAGCCTCTACATTCCTGCCCCAAGTTATATCTGACAGGCTCTAAATTAATGCAGCATGTGCTAAATGAAGTGTCTTTTCAGCATATTAAAAATTTATGTATTGAAAAAATAAGTGCTGTTACCAATGAGGGAAGAAGATTATTTTTTTCCCCACAAGATATATAAATCAGAAGTTTTTTCACAAACTTTCTTTCAACATAATATATTATGGGGTCTGTTTGATATTTTTATCTGTATAGAAAATAAATTATGGTGGTTTGTTTTGCAGTTTAGGTGATCCATATAGTTCTCTTTGAGGAGTCAAAAAGCAGACAGCTCATGACTTCTGATCAGGACACTAAAGTTGTGGCTGAACCGCAGGTGCAGCAAGTGCAAGAAGTTAAGGACAGTTTTCATCTGGTAAGTATTGAGATTATCTTGACTAGTGGGAACGTGCAAACATAATTAATTAGGCACTGTGTTTTATGCTGTGAAGTACATTTTTTGTGTTTGGTAATTTGTCAAGCTATTTTACAAAATCCATTTATAGCAAATAGTCTTCTCATGCCACTGTAACATATTTTTTCAGATTTTAGTTATGCCAACTAATACTAACTTACAGTAAATGAAGAAGTTACATAATTGATATTGCCAGTAACAATGGCTAGCAGATCAGTATTTTTATGGTTTCACCTTCAAATCCCAGCAGCTCTGAAAGCATTGTTAGAGACCAAGAATGGTAGGGGTTATGGTTTAGCAAGATGTTTACTCTAGAACAATGGTATTAGTCTAGATTGAAAAATGTGCTGTGATATATTGACAAGTTACAATATGCTCAGTTTCCTGCTACTACACAAACACTTTTTAAAGTATGATTTTCTACTAAGAAATAGTTCATTGGTTCTTCTGGGAAAGTTAGTTTCTACAAAATGACATATAAAAATGAAAATGGGATTTTTTTTACAATATTGCATATATTTAATATAAGTATCTATTACTATCATTCATTGGACTTGTAAGATTTCTTTTTTGTGTTTAAATTAGTAGCAGAGAAGATAGGCAGTTCAAAATATAGGAACATTTCATGTTTTGTTTATTTTTTGTTTATTAAATTTATATGCTGCCCATCTTGCTGTCCAAAGCGATTCTGTTTGGAATCTACTTGCCCAAACAAACTTGAATATTGTAATGTTCCAACATAGGAAAATAAACAATGTTCAGGATAACTTTAGTTTATTTTTTAAAATAAAAGTACCTTGGCCATTTTTTTTTTAGTTTGGGTAGTAGAAAGTTCATTTCTTAGAAAAACAATGGAGCAAGAACTTATTTTCATATTGTTCCCTTTGGGAAACACACAGAATGGAACAAATTTTTTTCACAGATTTGTAGAAAAATTCCAGAATATTTCAGGTGCTTTCTTTAAGCTTTAAAATATTTGTATGGCTTATCCATATCTGTTTTAAATAAAGGCTGTTAAAGTTTTTGGTTCCCTTTTTGAAGTGAGTAAAAAAAAAGATATTTTTGGCTTGAAGGATTTTTTTCTTTTTTAATTTTTCCTTTTTAAGGCTATAGTAATGGTGGAGTTTTATTTAAGAATTTGTTATGCTTTCTTGCTCTAATTTGTAGGCCACGTGTGTTGTGGGGGGAAATTGGATTTCTTCCCCCCTCCCAACAAAATACATTGAATTGAGTGTTACTTTGCTCTTAAGTTAATTCCGTATTGTATTAAAGTAATGTGTATATACAATGTATATCAGTGGCTTCAGAATTCGGCAAGCATTCTCTGGCTTTTTGACAACATTCTTGTAAGGAGAAACTGCTGAAGTTCCTAACTTGCTCCTTCCTCTTGTAGAATACAGTACAAGCCCCCCAAATACTTAAGGGGTAAATTTCTCAGTGCAAAACGCCTTGTATGTATAATATACTAAGGCATTTCTCAGAAACTGAGCTTAATGTTGAGTGGCAATAGCACATGAGCCCCCTGCACTGTTTAAACAGTACTATTTTTGGCATCTGGGTGTTGGCTTGTCTCCCCAGCAGTTTTATAAAGCGAAGTGGTTATATGCAGCAAAGAGCTTACAGCTCTGGGACTTGCAAAGGAGAACTTAAAATGGGCTGCTGTTTCACTAAGGAGCCAAATAACAGCCATAATGAGAAAATGAGCCTGCTGCAGAAAAGTATAGAAGAGGAAACCTCTGAAAATAGGATAAGTAAAACTTTAACTACGATTTTAGAGGCTAAGGAAAAAACGGGATTGCACGTAATCCAGGAGGAAGGTTGTCTAGAACCTACCATTTATAATGACTGCTGCATAGAATCAATTAAGCATCCTTCAATCCATCGGGTGGTGTTTGCTGGGAACATTTCCAGTAGGCAATTTAAGCCTCATTGGTTTAAAACCAAAAGGGATTTGAATAAGTATGATCCTTTATCAGAAACCGAATTAACAGATGAGATTAATGATAAAAAGCTAACAGAAAAAAGCAGTCATAACAATCAGTTTGTGAATAATGTAAGCAGCCATCATATTAATAGTAATAGTGAAAGTGAATTGATTCTCTCTGAAAAGCAACGGCATTCATTTGAAAATACTTCTGTTTTGTGTGCACCAATGGCTTTAAATAAAGGAAGTTTGTTCCCAAAAGCTCTAAATACATATAGTATGATGGACAATAGTTTCATGGCACATGCTGAAATGAAGACTGTTGAAGATAATGATGCAGTTTCAAGTAGAATGGATAAGGAAATAGCAGCTTTGACCTCTGTATGTTTTGACATAGATAGACATCACAAGAATGCCAAAGATGAATTCTATAGTATTTGTATAATTGACGATGATATGAGAAATGAAGAAAGGCAAACAATCACTGATGAAGAGTCTATTACAATTGTACAACCATCAGCTATTCAGGAAGGCTGCAGTTTAACATGTCTTATAGAAGAGAAGAAAGAATTCTTCGTTCAGGAAGCAGAGCGTGTGCCAGTTAATATCAGCATTCTGAAAGATGCTAATCTGATGAACAATAATACGGTGCGAGAAAGTGAAAAGAAAAAAGACCCTCCCCTTGGCTTGGTGAGCGAGGGTTATAGGTTAAATACTGAAAGCATAGCAACATGTGGTATAGAGGCACAAGCACGTGTTGAAGAAGGTCCTCAAAATAGAACTTGGGAAATGGATATGCTTAATAGTAGAATCATTTTGAATGAATCAGATTGTGAACACAATTATTCAATACCTGTGGAGGAAGGCATAGACGTGAATTCTTTGCAATTAAGTAAGTTAGTGTGTACATGCCATTCCAGCCCTGATAATGGCAGTAGCAATGATATTAAAGTGAATTTTGAACATAATGAAAATCAAACCATTGATGGAGAATATTGTAAATGTTTGTTATCGAAGCCACTGCTTCCATCAGAATGTAGTAATGCAACCATTGATTCAGTTTTTGTAAGACAAACTAATATAGAAGCTGTAAGGCAAGGAAATAGGCAAAAATCTGAAAACAAACAAAAGTGTTTCAGGAATGTGAATGAATTTCAGACAATTTCTGATTGCAGTGATGAGGAAATATCAGATATTTCTGAACACAATAATCTACAGAATCTCTTGAAATATGAAATAGTTTCCCATCAAGAAGCTTCATGCAGTCCTGAAAACCTGATTAAAAATGCTATCGTCATGCTTTCAGCATCAAATGATTTAGTTTCTGGAGCAGAACAAACTCATGTACCAGAGTTTAGCAGTAATGAAGATTGCAACTCTGTAAGAACTGGTCAGCAACTCCAATCTCAAATAAATAGCTTACCTTCAGAAAACTGTGGTTTGAAAAGAGGCCTGCTGGAGAACAAGGCAACTACCACTTTTTCAGACCTATTCAACATAAATGTTGAAGGTAAGAACATTGAAAAAGAAAATTGCTTGCAAGATCAAACCCAGCAAGATTTCTTAAAAAGCAGCAGTAAAACATATGAATATTCCCATGCACTTAATAAAGACAGTTATTGCTCCATCTCTTTGGCATGTTCTAAGTCAAATGAGTTGGATTTGGACAGGAAACAGTCAAAGGCATGGAGCAAATATATATTCTATAGGCCTGAAGAATTTTCTGCAAAAAAACTTATAAATGGAACCCATGAGACACTATTTAATGAAGTGGAATCTGAAGATTCTGATGGTTCCAATATTAGTTTTAGTTGCATATTAAATACCAGTAATAATTCACCAGAGATGCATAGTGTACCTCCAGAAGCACAAGAGATGCTTGCAGATCTGAAAGCTTCTAGAAATCTGCAGACTTACATATCTAAGAGCCAGTGTGAAACCAAGAGGTTTCCTGCATCGGATTTACTAGCAACAGAATGCAAAGAAACATCTAGTAATTTAAATGAAAAAAGTTCAGACATTTATAAAAATAGCTCTTCAATTGAACAAAGTAAAACGACAACTATATGCCCACGTGATCACTTGATTTCTAGATTTTCTGTTCACCATGAAAATTTATTACAAGAAAAAACAGAGAACTCTGCTTTTAAAGATAACCATGATGATGAATTAAAAACCAAGATAGAAAGCTCTTCTAAAGCAAGGCCTAAAGGCAATGTGAGCTGTGGTTTAGAAACTTATGAAGATGCAGGTATAAATTTTATTGACCCCAGACAAGAAGATAAGTATGCGGCTATTCCGTCCTATGAAATACCTCTTTTCCCTGATAACGAACAAGAATCTGAACAGGACAGTTCAAACAACGTTTTCGAGCTGATGGAAGATATATTAAAGGACCCTGATAATATGCAAAAACTGTATCTAAGAGATTCACAAGATGATGCTGCATCCCCAGTTTGTCAGTCTACTGAAATAAATAGATTGTTTTCAGGCACTGATTTTACATGTGGTCAGGAATGTATGAGCTACCTGTGGATCGATTCTTTTAACAAAGCTGAAAATGCATGCCTGTCAGCTGGCACAGTGCAAAATCAAGCTGGAGATCTGAGAGTTTCTCCTTTTCATATGGGAAAATATCCTTATCATTTGTTAATGAAAGAAAAGAGTGCTATTTGGGAATGGCAAGAGAGAGATGAAGAATGTGTAAGTTATTGTAATTTCATTCATAAACTTTCTTAGAAAACCCAATACAAATAGTCCTCGACTTAAAATAGTTAGTGACTGTTCAAAGTTACAGTGGCACTGAAAAAAGTTACTTATGACCATTTTTCATATTTACGACCATTGCAGCTTCCGCACAGTCATGTAATCAAAATTTAGATGCTTGGCAACTGATTCATATTTATGACAATTGCAGTGTCCTGGATTTATGTGATCACCTTTTGTAAACTTCTGACAAAGCAAAGTCAATGGGGAAGCCAAATTCACTTAACAACTATGTTACTAACTTAACTGTGGCAAGAAAGGTCATAAAATGGGACAAAAGCCACTTAACAAATGTCTCACTTAGCAACATAAATTCGTGATTGTAAGTCGAGGACTACCTGTACATGATTTGAAACTTAACTTGAAGATTTTAATTTGACAAAAGGTTTACCTAAAGATCCTGTGGCTTGGATCTAGAGGTGCCTGTTTGCTTACTGTACATTACTAATGCTTTCCTGCAAAAATGTTCTTGAGTTCCTTTAATGTTGCAGTTTCTTCATGGCCTGTCCCATTCTGTGAGAACATAGGAGGCTGCAATTGGCCCTATTGCAAGACCAAACCTCTTCTCTTGTTTTGTAGAATCAATTCACTGTTGTAAAGTTTTCTAATCTTCTCCCAAGGCTTAAGCCAGGAATATCACTCCTCCACCACCATTGGACAGGAAATGAGATTATAACTGAGATACTTTGAGAAATACAATTTAAATTAGTGTAGCTTGACAGAATAACATTATGTATTACATAATTCTGCAAAATATACAGAAAAGTGTGGTGTATATGATGCCCAAATGTCAAAGTTAGTACAGTGTTTAGAAGTAGCACCTAGCCACCTCGTTGAAATACAAGAACAGTGAGAAAATTCTTAGTTTATTGGACAACCTGTTGCAAAATACATGGGTTTGTCTTCCTTTTAAAAAAGATAAGAGTTTTTTGTTAACAATATTAATGTACTCTCAAGATTCATTTTTCATGACTGAAATCCAGATGCAGGAATATCAATAAAGAACGCATAAATATTGCCTCAATTGGATTTGTAACCAAACATGTTTTAATATGACAATTGAATATTGCCATTGTTTAAAAATGATAAGGCACTGACTTCCTTACTAACTCTGAGGGACTGAATTTTGTAGTATTGTTGGCAGACCTAACCATTTATCTTCATAAAATATTATGCTACATGTGTCTTATGCATCCTTTTGTCTTTATTTGGCAAGGAGATGTAATACCTAATGATTTAAATGCAGTGTATTATTCCTTTTAAAAATGTTCTCAGGCATATCTCTTTTACAGTGCAATTAAAACTAATTCCTTAAGGGAATTATTTAATTAAAAGAACCGTTTATAATATAAACATTTAAATAGCTTTTTTATTATGAATTGCTATAACTAGTTAAATTGTAAGATAATACATTAACGTGGAGAACTATAAACCTAAAGGATCTCAGTAGTTCTAGTGTAAATTTTACTTAAGGCTTTTAACCATGCATATTATAATTTATTGACTTAATTATCATTGGCTAGACTTGGACTTACAAACTACATAACTACTTAGGATTATGTGATTCAAACATTGTCCTGAGTTGTTAACCATAGTTATGCAACCTAATGGTTGGGCTTACATATTAAACACATTAAAAACAGATAATAGAGTGTATTCAAATTTAAGTTCAAAACTCTCCTCTGTTTTCACTGGTTAAGTAGCTCTAAAATAGCAATGATCTGTATCTCTATACATCAATGGCTTTAACTTTTGAGGTTTACTATAAGAATATAGTATTGCTTTTTATTTTTCTATTGATTATGCTTTTTATATGGCTCCCTTGTCCTCTGCTGTCTTTATTATGAGTTGATGAAGATATTGACACTAATCTTACAATGTTCTCAATGACTTAGATCTACTTTTTTGTCATAGATAAGAATGTTACTATTCTTTTTCTTGTTCCTCCAAAGCTTGTTCATGAGAACTGTGAGGATACAGAGCATGTTATGGGAATAAGTTGTGCAAAGAGGTTAAAGTGAACATTGGTGGAAATCCATCCCTTTACATTGGAACAAATTGGAATAAATTTAAGTTAGCGAATATAAATAGTGTTTTTCATAATAAAGAAATATAAACATGAGATGCTTATGATTTAGACTTAAGAAGCAAAGTGAATTCAGCTAAACATTCAAGGTCTTTATAGGAAGTCTCTTTTTTTAAAAAAGAGTATATTTTCAACTCATATTGTATAGTTCTTATATAGGCAGCTTACAATAATTTATTTTTAATGAGACAAATGCTGTGTGTATATCTGTATATGTGTATCTATGCAGTTAATGAACACACCTGTTCTGAGTATGCATTATGTATTACAGGAGCCAGCCAAGGTTTCAGAATTAAATCCTAATGCGAAAGTGTGGGGGAATCACATGGTACACGTGGAAGCAAGTGGTACTGAAGGGGGTGTGAACAAACCCTTGGAAGAAATAACAGATCACCCACCAGATTCCTGTAAAGAAGGTACAAGAAATCTGTTTTGAAATACCGCATTATTACTAGTACTAAAGCTAACTATTTCTATTTATATAATGCTTTACTTATACAAATAGTTTTCCTGTCTTCAGTCATACCTCCTCCCAGTCCCACATTCTTCTCTGTTTTTATTACAATCTAATGAAACCAACATTTGCTAACCAGTATGCTCCTCTTAGCTAACCTCTTGCTTTCCCTTCCCACACATCCCCATGCCCTAACCCAAAGGATATGCTTGTACAAACCCTGTCCTAATTGTTCAATTTAAAAAATGATTACTTAAAAAATTAATTAATCCACCCTTACAACATATTAGAGGCACCAAGTAATGGCTTAGCTTGAGGAAAGAAGAAAAGTTGTTTGCCAGCAGCAGTCGTGCATACACAAGTAACAAATCATTGCATATTTCTTGCAGGTTTCATTGAGAGAAACTTACAGTAATTATAGCGAATAACAGCAGTTAGTCAGAGTATGAAACCTTTGATGTCTAAGTCACAGCAAATGAAGTATATTTTTGTGACTCTTATAGTTTTCTCCACAGCATTAGAGGCCAATGGTGATGGTGACAAAAAACACCAGAACGAATCGTTAACAAAACATCAAGAACCATCACTATCTGTTCCATTATCAAATCAAACAGATATGAACCCTTTGGCTCTAGATCATGCAGAGTACGAAACTGTACATGAAAATACTGAGAAAGGTATGGAAAAGGTCCTTGCTCATTCTTAAAGCTGTTTAGTTTTCTGGTTTATAGAATGATCTTCAGGAAATTTGCACATTCTAGCTACTGAAGAAACATACCTGAGCAGGACTGAACTGTAGGCATTGTTACAGATGTGCCTATATAAACAACAGCTGTGACTATTAAATCCATAACACAGTATGAAATAGGAAATGCAGAGTAATAATTTTATCAGCAAACCCGTATATGTGTGAGTCATCTAATTGGAATTGTTGCTTGTCTTGTTAGATTTGTCCTGCTTACATACAATTTGCTTCCTGTCGTCTTCCATTTCAGTAGAGGAGGCTTTAAAAGACATACCAGTTTAGAATCCATTTGGGGGAGGAAACATTTGAAGTCAAATCCTTAAGTCTATATCTGTTATTTCTCAACAATAAAGAAACCTATTTAACCCATTCTCAGAATTATTCTGGTTGCTTGCACCTGGCATTTCTGGATGCTTATATACCATTTGTTCTAAATTTATTTTGGAAGAGTGGTGTTCTTACCACTCTTACCATTTTCATTTGATGGAGTTATTTTTGAACTTCTGATTTGTTCACAAACCATGAAATGCAGTTAACTGGAAGTGTGCTTAGCTCCGACATTCCCTTGGTGTAGTAAAAAGTCAAGTTCTTCCTCATCATTGAGGCCTACTGAATTGGCAGAATTACTGCTTTAGCTTGGTTTGAACCATATGTGTATTTATTTCCGCATGGAGAAGCTGGGAAATGTGAATAAATAAACTTGCCCAATGACTTTGCATAAACTGGAGGTCTGTATAAAAGGAATGTAAATAAAAGATCTTACAGTGAGTAATAACAACAAAATGCTTGTAGTTTGAGTTCTCATACCATAAGCATTTGCTCCACTGAAGGCTTTGTCGTTCTATAAGATGCAGCTCTATAAAGTAAGTATAAGCCCATAAGTCATATCGGTTGCAAAACAGACCACCTACATGACCAACTTGATTATAGAAATTTTTTTTGCATCTGTCAAAACTTAGGAACCGGGTCATAAATACATCTGAAGAGGTTCATCGTAACTTCAAATGATCACTCAGTGGCCAGTCATAAGTCGAGGGCCACCCGTAGTGTCAAATAATATGCACAATACTAGCTATGTTGCTTTAAAATTGTAATGTTTTCCTTAACCACTAGAAATAGTTAAAGCAAACAAATACTTTTTTCAATCATGTCAAACATCAAATTTCAGGTGCTGTTACTATGATAGATAGATGATAGATAGATAGATAGATAGATAGATAGATAGATAGATAGATAGATAGATAGATAGATAGATAGATAGATAGATAGATAGATAGATAGATAGATAGATAGATAGATAACCTTTATTGTCATTTTTTACTGTGGGCACAATGGTACACATTAAAAATGAAATTTAGTTGCTTGCTCTCAAAATGTACACATACATGATACACATACAAACATACTATATACAACATATGTATAGACCTACACCCTTACATATAAGTAACATATAAATATTAATCACTGTCCATCTTGAATACATAACAGAAGGATGAAGCTTTAGAGTTCACAAGGTTAATATATAATGTTATATATACTGTGTATTAAAAGATCCAAAACAGTGATAGCTGAGTATTGGAGGCCCTTAATTGTTTTCAGATACATAACACCAGCCTTAATCCAAAAAGTTACTTATTTTTTATATGTAAATGATTTCTTACAGCTTGTTAATTTGGAAAGAAATCATGAATAAATTGTGTATTAACTCTTAAATATATTTTTGTTCATTGACTGTTCAATTTAGGTAATTTCTCTTTTATCTAATATTTCTAAAATCTATGATTACCCTTCTAAATGTTAGCTTAACACCATTGATTTCATCTGCTGAGAATCAGAGGTCTTGGCTTATCTCAAAAACCTGAACCAGTTTAAATCTGGTTAATGCTTAGATAGGAATTTCCTGGTGAGTCTGAGTAGGAAGTTTAAAAAGAAGAAAAGTAGTAAACAATTTCTATACTGATTTAAAAAAAAACTGTATGGATTTGACCATGTAATGTGAACACCACATGCCATAGTGGTAGACTGTCTAGGTCAGTATTTTTCAAACATAGCAATTTAAGATGGGTGAACTTCATGCCCCAGAATTCCAGCCATTATGTACTGGGGAATTCTGGAAGTTGAAGTCCACCCATGTTAAAATTGCCAAGATTGAAAAATCCTGATATAGGCTCATCACTTGCTACTTTTATGAAGAATTATATACCATTTTTTTCTTTGTTTCTTGTTTTCCATTTTAGGAAGTAAAGAACATCTTCGGCCAGAAGGTCAAGAACATTTACGTGAAGTGCTTAAAAAAACACTGGAGTTCTGCTTATCAAGGTAAGTATATAATGGATATAATATAGTCAAGCCTCATGTTATTGCTAATAAGAGGACAGATTAAATGTTAATTAGGGTGGAATAGGCAATATAATTAATTATGAATGCCATAACCAATATGTTAGTCTCTGGACTGCATAGAAATTCATGATCGGGCAGGGATATATTTATATGCTAATTTTATAGCTTGAAATTCAGAAAGGATTGGGAAGGAATGAAAACTCAATAGTAAAGATTTTATTTTCCTTAATTGTTTAATTATCTTATTTCCACAACTGAATCGCAAAAGATAAAATGCAATTATACAAGCTGCCGGTCATTTGCTAGGTATTTCGCGGGCTCTCTATTACAGGAAGGTTTGTTATTTCAGTACTTTAGAAGAACTAATTGTTGAGAATAGATGCAATTCAACTGTATGCTGTCCTCTGCACTAAAAATATTGGCACCTTATTTTGCTTATCATTAAATGTAAAGTGCCAGACACTTGGAACTCTTGTATAGAGTAAATTATATAGCAGTAATTTTTCAAAACTCACCACATGATCTGATTACTGTTAATCTTTAATATAAAGCTATAGCTTTAAACTAAATTTCATGACGCTAATATAATCCACATGCTGCCTTCGTGACTGGCTAGAAGTTTGGTAATATCACACAAGTGTTTTTTTCTGTCTACCTGGATACTGCTTTTTAAAAGCATCTGAAAATGGGCTACTTTTGGCTTTCTATGTCAAATGGTTCACGAAAAGCAGGACTTGACAATCTAAGAGGCAAGGACAACAAGTTTGGCTGTAATTCTGTGATTTTGCAAGAAATGAAGTGTTTTAAAGTGAAAACATGACTGTATCTTAATATTTAGGAATAATCTTAAAGGGTAATGCAACCAACACTCTGCTAGGAATTGCATGGAGAGTTAATTTTATACTATTTTTTTCTTCTACAGAGAAAATCTTGCCAGTGACATGTACCTTATATCTCAGATGGACAGTGATCAGTATGTGCCAATAATAATACTAGCTAATCTTGATCACGTCAAAACGTTGAGCACAGATATGGATTTGATTGTTGAAGTGCTACGATGTAAGTAATGGCAAATCATGTATTTTGCACCATTCTTTAGAATAAGAGAGCTTAGTTGAGATGGACAAGGTTGAAACTCATTTTTATTCCCTTAAGAAGCAATGTATCTTAAAATGACAGTATCATTTTTTTGTAGGAGAGTTTTATAGAATATTAAGTTCTTTTATCTTAAACAGAAGTAAGTCTTTTTATACAGGCAATCCTTGACTTATTGGGACTGGAAAATTTGTTGTTAAGTGGTACAGATGTTAAGGGAGCTATCATGTGACCACACCCGAGTTTATGATCTTTATGTCACGGTCATTAAACAAATCACCATACCCATTAAATGAAACATAACATGATTGCAATTTGAGACCTTCCTTTCCATCTTCCCATTAACTTTTTTTTTTTGGAAGCTGGCTGGGAAGATCACAGTGATCATGTGACCCCAGAATTCTGCAGTCATCACAAATCCAAGCTGATAGCCAGTGCCCAGATCCTGGTCATGTGATCACTCATCATAAGTGTGAGGATCGATCATAAGTTATTTATTCCAGTGCTTTGAACAGTCACTAAATGAATGATCATAAATCAAGAACTACCTGTATATACTCACTAACCTGACTCAGGCTTAAGGAATGTACATGTGCCTGCTGGCTTCTTCTAGTGAACTATGAATTTGCAAACAGATATCCTGAATAATGGCAGTTTTCCTGAACACACTGTACATTGAGTGCCTTACTTTGAGCTTATTAGCATTCTCAAGAAAATCTGTGTTGAAGCCTTTAAGTAGTCAGCAAAAGGATAAAATGACTTCTTTTCTAAAATGGTTCTGCCAGCACCTCTTAACATGAAACACATATTTTTCTGAGAGTCCATGGTTGAAACCCAGGAGAAACACCTTCTTTTAGGAGGTCTCCTCAGCCCCATCCAAAGCCTCTTTTCCACCTCGGATTACAATAGCTGTGTGTTGCTGTTTAAAGTTTAGACATGGTAGATAGAGCATGGTAGAAGATAATTTCTACCTTGGGCATTGAGTGTGTTTGATGGTATAGGGCAGGGGTAGTCAACCTTGGCTCTTTTATGACTCGTGGACTTCAACTCCCAGAATTCCTCAGCCAGCTTTTTATTTTCACGAGTCCACGAGTCATAAAAGAGCCAAGGTTGACTACCCCTGGTATAGGGTCAGGTGAGCCTATAGTATAAAAACTCAAGTATAGTATCTTCCTTCCCCAGAAGCCCTCTAGATGTAGTTATTAGGGTGGCAGAAGAGAGATGCCTTTATCCCACATCCTCTCACTTAAGTATGTTACAGAGCCTAGGAGCTCCCAACCTATAGTTAACAGATAAAACTTTCAGTGGCAAAAGAAATAAAAATAGCATGTTGCTCCATTCATAGCAGTATCTTAAAAGAATCTCCTATAAAATGTTTCAAAGGAGAATTTCAGTCTGAGGCAGATCTCAGGAGATAAGACATTTAACATAAGAGACACTACTGCTGCTCAGAGATCTCAAAATGCATTAAACAGAGAATATCTGAGCTTCCATAGTATGAAATATGTATCAGAACCAATAAAGTTCTGCTTGTCCACAGGAAATAAAGAATAACCTTATCTCACTGCTAAATAAATATTTATCTTTGTTGCCCAAGTAACAGTCCTTTTGAATAGTGTGGAGTTCTTTCCTGGTTCATTTTTACTTTTTGGTTTTCTGGAAATTTAAATTGGAGCTAAAGAAGGTTTCACCTTCTATCCATTCTAATATAGATACTTTCTTCCTTTTATTAGTGATCAGTCTGTATTTTATAGGAGAACAAAGACTCTTCGTACTCCTCAGTCTTGTTTCAGTTAGATTGAATATAGATTTAGGCTCTGAACTTGTTTGGGAACGGTTACAGCAGGGGGAAATTATGTTTTTAATTGATTCCCCTGTTTTAATAACAATTGAGCCAATTCTATTATAGGATTAATAGAGCAATGGTTCTCAATCTGTGGTCCGCGAACCTCTGGGGGGGCCTTGATGTCATCAGAGGGGATCTATGAAGGCTGGAAAAAATGTTATTTAAATCTCGGGTTAAGTCTTGGGGGTCCGTGGCTATGGTCCGTGGCCACAAAAGGTATTTAAAGGGGTCTGTGGTGAAGAAAAGGTTGAGAACCACTTTAATAGAGTATTAAAAGTAATAAATACAAATTAGTTGCAACAACATTGTTTGTTTGTTTTTAGCATTGCCTTTAGTCCAAGTAGATGAAAAAGGTGAAAAAGTCAGGCCAAACCAAAATCGCTGCATTGTAATTTTGCGCGAAGTACCTGAATCCACTCCAATTGAAGTAAGTATATTATTTCATCAGAGTTTTTAGTTTTATTTTTTAAATTTATAAATATAGTAAAACACTAATAAGAGAGGGGATACCTGGAGCATTAGTTTCATGACCTGTTCTTGAATACTCTTTATATTCAATTCTAATATGGCTTCAGTTGGGGCTGAATCAGTCATGGTTATAATTCTTAATGAACCCTTCTTCTCTCCAGCCCTGACAAATTATCATTCCATCCATCCATCCATTTATGTATTTATTTTAGGAGGTTCAAGCACTCTTCAAAGTTGAAAACCTGCCTAAGTTTATCAACTGTGAGTTTGCCTATAATGACAACTGGTTTATTACATTTGAGTCTGAAGCAGATGCACAACAGGTAAGTATGTGTGCCCTTGTGCATATGTTATGTTGAATTATCTATGTTAGAGACTGTATGATTCAAGTTAATCATGGCTCAAGCACTATGATGAGAACACAACCAAAGAAGACTTCAGCTACTAAGGGACCATAACAGACCATTCTCCCATGTTTGGAACAAAATGCTGACTCTGTTATGCAAGTAAGGGTTCCATAATTAAATATACTAATTATTTCCCACAGTTAATTTGGTAGTTGGCAAATAATTAAAGGTAATCAGAGCAAATAGTTAAATAAGCAAGTAGCCACAGGCAGGGTTGTCATATAATTGGAAGTTGTCTAGTTGGAAAGGGATTCATAATGTTAATAGGTAAGTTCATAGTAAGCATAGCAAGATAGTTTATCCCCCCCCCCCCTCTTATTAGCATGGTCTTGGTAGATTTTGGAAGCCTGATCAAATGGACCCTGAAGCTATCAGTTTCTTATATGCTATAAGATGCCAAAGTATCACTTGGGTTCAAGTCCCACTAAAATGAGTTATATAACTTATTCCTGTTGGCTTTGGTAAATCTAAAATGCCTATTCTGTGATTGTCAAGTTTGCCTGGATTTTTCAACTCCCATAACTGCAAAGATTTCTAGTGCTTTCTCTACCTGATTCTTTTCCACAATATGCAGTTAATTACCAGATCAAAATAACACAAAAAAATTGATGCATTTCCAAATATAATATGTTATTTGTAAGTCTGAATTACATATGGGCATTTTTCTTTATATAGAAAGGTATTCGTGCTTTTTTCCCATTAGTTCAATTGCACCATTTCAAACAAGTATATCTTTCTCTTAAAGGCTTACAAATACCTAAGAGAAGATGTGAAAACTTTCCAAGGAAAACCAATTAAGGTAAATGTATTTTGGAATTTGAAATTGTAATTGGTATAATTCTGAAAAGCACCTTCTAAGAATACAATCTTTTATCATTTATAGGCAAGAATAAAAGCAAAAGCAATAGCTATAAATTCATTTTTGCCAAAGAATGGATACAGACCTGTGGACATGAATATCTACACACAACAGCGTTATACAACATCATTTGCATACTTACCTCCAGTATACGGACCCCAACAGCAATTTCCACTATATAGTTTAATTGCGCCACAGGCCTGGTCTACAACACACAGCTATATTGATCCATCATTGGTAAGCACTGGGGAACCATTTGTTTTGTTTGCTTGTTTGATGATGTTCATGCTGCTGCAGAATATTTGGGGGAACTGTTCAGGGAGAGAAAACTTACACAATTGTATTTTACAACCATTCTATGTATTATTCCTCTGTACCAAAAACTCCCTGTGTATCTATGCTTAGATGGAGAGGAGTATCCTAAACCTTTCTGCAGTGATATTCAGTAAAACACAGGGAACTTTTAATAGGGAAAATAAAAACCCTTCTACCTTTGAAACCTGATGGTATAGTCTTGAAGCCTTTAGTATATTTGCGCTCTTTGCAAAGTGCGATTTTTAACCCTGTGCTTTCCTTTTTGGGTTGACATCAGGGCGTTTCCTGAAGCAGCTTATTTTAGAGTTAAGTCTATATTACTTGATCTACTACTATGATTCAAACTCAGAGCATTCTGTTTAATAAAATCTGGGATGGAATATCAAACTGATTAAAATTCAGACAACGTGCTGTAATATAACATGTTTTTTTATATTTTAAAACTTTTGGTGTAAATCAGATTGATTTTTACCTTGTCCTTGATGTGTAATGATTTTTATAACTCCATTATACTAAGCTTACTAAATAAAATCTCGTAGGATGTAAAATTGCATACTGAGACATTTTGTCAAGACATTTCTCTCTTGTATGCTTGCATGCTTATTTTCTTCATGTAAATTTTTATCCAGAAGATAAAAAATGGTTTTAGAAATATAAATGTATTTATATTGCATTGTATTATATTATAAATATATTTATAAATATATTCTAAAGCTAAGGTTATACAAATATAAATGTATGTAATGAAAATATTAATAAGCACAAGTATGATACTTATAAGGAAAGGTAAAGTGAACTAATGAAACCATTGTGCTATTTTTCAGAACTTTATGGATATACTGAAAGTTTCAAATGTACATCTGAAATTTTCTGTTCTATAGGTTGCACCATTTCCAAATACTGGATTTATCAATGGATTTACAGCTCCTTCTTTCAAACCAATTACTGCTCCACTTGCTACTCTTAGGCACTATACACCAAGAACCAGGCAAGTTCTGTTAATACATTTTTGTCTATCTGGACAATATGCCTGGTGCAAATAAACTCATATATCTCTCAGGGCATTATTTTATCACAAAATGTCACCATTTCTATCTCTTGGTCTCCTAAAAAGGCATACACAACAAGAAAGGCCGTGACCAGGGGGGCGTTTTATCAGGTTCGCCTGATTCACCAGTTGCGGCCTTTTCTGGACCGGGACGCCTTACACACAGTCACTCATGCTCTTGTCACCTCCCGCCTGGACTACTGTAATGCTCTCTACATGGGGCTCCCTTTGAGGAGCACCCGGAGGCTTCAAATGGTCCAAAATGCGGCCGCGCGGGCGGTGNTCCAGCAAGCGGACCTGACCTAGGGTGGATTTTACATTGGGTTTTAAATATTCGGAAGACGCAACATTAAAATTCGGTTTAATTCGGTTTTAAGGGGGGGATTGTATATATGTTCTGGTTTTAAATATGTTGTGCGCCGCCCTGAGTCCCTGTCGGGAGAAGGGCGGCATATAAATTAAATAAAATAAATAAATAAAAAGTGAATAGGGAAATATTTGTACAGAAGACAAAGAACCAATGCCAATTGGAAATTGGCTGTAAATGTTTTATAGTAAATTATGAATTCCATTACAAAATGACCACTGAGTCATAACTGCTGTCTTTGTGCAGAGAAGCATACTTCCAAAATAAGCTATGGGCTACAGCCACCACCTACCCTATTCTAAAGATGCCTCTAGGATTTGTGTTTGCCCCAGAGGCATTCTTGGAAATGGAGACTGCGGTTGAGGGTAGTGCCAAACACTGTGATCAATTGAACTTAGACCAGCGGTTCTCAACCTATGGGTCGCAACCCCATTTGGGGTTGATTGACCATTTCACGGGGGTCGCCAAGCAAGGCTGTCCGCCATTTTGTTTCCCCTTTTCAGGCGGGTGCCTTACCTCCCTTGGGCTGGGCCAGCTGGTGGTCGGCCTGCTCCGTCTCTGCCGCTTGCCAGCTACGCCTCGGCCAGCACAGGGGGCGGAACCACACATATGTGGCGCTCCCGGGAAGGGAAAGTCCTCGACTTACGACCGGTTGGGTAGTCCTCGACTTACGACCAGTTTAGTGCTCTACTTACGACCGGCTGGGGGTCGCGGCATTAAAAAGGTTGAGAACCACTGCCTTAGACTCTAGTAAAAGCTTGCATGTTGATGCAGTTCTAAACATCTCCTGAAGATGTCCTATGACGCTCTGAAAGGTTTTTATTTTTCCCTGTCCAGAAATCCCAGCAAATCATATCTACGGCATACAATTCCTACTGTAGACAGAGGGACTGGACTGCTAGAGAGCCCTACAATATTCAATCTTTCTGCTGACCGATTAATCAACGGTGTCAGAAGCCCACAAACCAGGCAGCCAGGACAAAACAGAACACGGATGCAAAGTACTACAAGCTACATAAAGCGAGATGTAGGGAGCGGGCGAGTAGAATCCATGGCTTCAGATTCATCCTCCAGCTTAGGCAGAGGAAGGTGGGTATTGAAATTTAGGGTAAGGCACTAGCCCCTGAGGTTGGGAATGTTGTGTGTTTCCATGTTAGAAATTTCAGAAAGAAGAATTCTATGGAAATAAAACGAAGAAAAAAATTCTCAATTTGTATTTGATAGTATAATCAGTGGCAAAACACTAAGGATATTCTCATGTCACATTAAGCCGTGATGAGTTAGTTCTCTTCAGTATATGAGCCAAGCTTTGTTTATAGAGAATAGTTTCAGTGTCCAGCTATGAAATCTGTCTGTCTGTCTGTCTGTCTATATCTATCTATCTATCTATCTATCTATCTATCTATCTATCTATCTATCTATCTATCTATCTATCTCTATCTATCTATCTATCTATCTATCTATCTATCTATCTATCTATCTATCTATCTATCTATCTATCTATCTATCTATCTATCTATCAATCAATCTATTCCAGAATGCTAGCTGGAGTGCTACAAATAAATGGAAAGCATAGGTTGGGTAATAAGGCCATTCAGACATGTATAACTCTTCCTCTTGGAAATTCGGGACAGTATACAAAGTCCTCCATTTTCTACTTCCATCCAAAAATTTTCACGTAATAAATCTGAGAGGTAAGTTATACTAGGCTGAATAATAGTGATTTGCCCAGGATCGCCGTTCACATACCTTAGAAGAAGAGTCTTGAGCCTGCTTCTTTGACCTAACTGAAAGTTCTGACAGCTACACCCCAAAGGATTTCTCGGTGTAACAGTACAATCACATTTAAGAATGAATAAGAATGAATAAATTGCTAATAATGATGACTTCTGTCCTTCCAGAAAAAACTTTTACGGCTATCGAAAAAAGAGAGATGACAGGTTTGTGGTGAGTATGCAATGTCTAGATATTCAGTTGAGACTAATACAGTAGCACAGCCTTGGTGAGGAATGATTTGACATGATGTTAAATGGTGATTTAAGCAGTAAAAATACCTATTCTAAATTACCCCAAATTGTCATGAGGTAAATGCCAAGGTTGATGGTGACTCATATTTGCATTAGATTTTCAAGTTGTTAAAGCAATTTTACAAAGCATCTCCCTTCCTGGTCCAGCTCTATTTGAATTCATTTTCTGTCCAGAAATTAATTGGTTCTACAAACATAGGAGAAAATTCTCCCATAACAAAATAACTGATTCTCATTTTAGTCACAAACTCCTTGATGTTTTAGCTGATCCTGTTCTTATTTTTCTCCTTATCTATAATTTCCATCTTTTTTTTTCTTTTAAGTGGATCTTGTTTTAAAATTTGAATCTCCCTTTCTATTTTTTTCACAAAACAGAGAGGCTTACATTACTGGTCATATTAGTAAGAAGAAGAAACACTTAATTCTCCCATTTAAAATATTACAGTGGGTATTGTTTTCAGCTTCTTGTAGAAAGCCAACTAGAATCATAATTAAAGGAAGCTGAATGCTGGATGGCTGTGTTTTTAATGACTAATTGAAACTTTAAAAAAAAGATTAAACCTAATATAGACTAATATAAAGAAACAAGAGATCAACAAGAAAGAAAGTGCAAGAAAACAAAAGTTGAATATAAAGCAAGAATATATATAAAGAGATAACTTCTGATATTCTTCACAGCAGCTATAAGTTCAATTACATTTTAATCTCTCTCTCTAAAGTTACATCATAATACTCTTCTTTCTCTAATGTATCCTAATAATCAAAGCCATAAATCTCAAGTTCATTTTTTTTCATTTTTACACGAAAATCTACCAATAAATGTAGATAGTGTCTTTTCTGTAATCAAATAAGTTAATTATCCATTTCTGTAAGATGTGTCAATTTCACCAAACATTCCTCCATAATGAATAGTGTTGAATCTTTCCTTCTCTCTGGGTGATTGTTTTTCATGCTTAAAATTGTCAAGTTGTGCCCAGACAATCTGCATCAATTCCTTACAGTAAGAGCTGATTTTTTTATATATTCACCTGGGTTTCTTGAAATGAGATGATGGTGAAAGGACTTTCTTTGTTGCATTACCTTTCCTATGGGACAGCCTCCCTTGGAGAATCACTCCCCTCCCACCATTCCTTCCTTCGAGACAACCTTAAAAATATGACTGTTCCCGTAGGACAGTGATGGCGAACCTTTTAGAGATGAGTGCCCAAACTGCAACCCAAAACCCACTTATGTATTGTCGGGTGCCGGGTGGGCATGGCCCATTGGGTGGGTATGGCTCGGTGGAAACGGCAGATTGGGTGGGACTAAAAAGTTCAATCAATCAATTCCAACTTGGCGAGATCTTTTTTTTCCCCCTTGAGAAGTTGAAATTGATTGATTGATTGAACCTTTTTTTTTTTCACACGACAACGGAGGCCTAAAGCGAAAAGGTTTTATAAAACCCAACTGAAGGCCTAGGATTTGGGCAACGGTCCGTGTGCCCACAGAGAGGGCTCTGCGTGCCACCTGTGGCACGTGTGCCATAGGTTCGCCACCACGGTCGTAGGATTTAGTTACATTACTTACTGTCTTAGATTGGGGTAATATGGAAGACTGTTTTCTTCACAGTTTCCTCAGGGTGATGGTTTTTCTTTATAGCATGTTAATTCCTCTCTTCTTAATTTTTGCTAAAAATTATTTTTATGTTAGATAGTCTAGAAATTGATTAATGGATAGATGGATAGATGGCAATATTAATCCACTACTCATGGACAGTGCTTATAATGCATTGAATTTCTTTCTAATTTATGAATGATAAATTTAAATCTATATCGCCTACTCAGGCATAGCCTACTGGCAGGAAAGAAATCTATTTAATAAATAGAAAGTCAACTGATGTATCTACTTTATGACTGCTTGAGTGTAAGATATGCAGTTATGTTCCTTTAGATTTTGATTGTTTTCTACAAATTTTGGTCCTTTTCCTTGAGAGCTGCTGTTGTCTTGCTTTCTAATCCTACATTTCTCTTACAGAGAGGACAAATGCTGTCTCCACCCCCTATAAAACCACCATCTCCGAGTTTTGAGCTGGGCTTGTCCAGTTTCCCTCCCTTGCCTGGAGCTGCTGGCAATCTAAAGACTGAAAATTTGTTTGAAAACCGGTTGTCAAATGTGATTGTGTCATCACAAGAAAAAGTAAAAATCCATAGATGTTGGGCAAGGGTGCATTTGGGGACACACTTTGATGTTCACTCTGAGAATCATGATTCTTTAATGGTACTTGTGATTGCTTTGAAAAAAGAAACTCAGGAACACCCATCTTATAAAGTATTTCTTTCTCCAGTAGGCTATTTTCTATAGTGTTGTTGTACTTGATAGTAGCCTTGCCAATATCGTTCTGCTTGACATGAATGTTTAAGTATCTTTAAGTCCTACTCAGAATGCTATGTAATGGGATACATAATCTTCAGCCTGGAAAATGGTCACACTTCAAACACTTGGTGGAAATGCTTACTGTTACACGTGTTGCTAAACCCCTCAGATACCGAACTGTATAGCATCAGATATTAAATCTACTGTTTATTTCTTGTGGTGGACAGTTTTTGAAATAGGTCTACACTTGGACAAGATCAAAACAATATATCATATTCAGCATTGACTTTGATGCAGATTGACATTATTTTAAAAGGTCATCTAGCACTATTGTGCCAGGCTTAGTATCTGAGATAAACGTGACTTAATCTTTCTTTAAGATTTTAGTAATCTACAACAGGGATTGGACAGGGCTTCTGCAGGTAGTCCTTGACTTACAATTCGGCCTCAAATTTCTGCTAAGCAAGGCAGTTGTTAAGAGAGTTTTGCCCAATTTTACGACCTTTTTTGCCAAAATTGTTGAGTGAACCGCTGCAGTTGTTAAACAGATCATATGTAATTAAATAAATCTGGCTTCCCCCATTGACTTTGCTTGTTGGAAGCCAGCTAGGAAGCTTACAAATGGCAATCAAGTGACCTCTGGGAGGCTGCAGCCATCATAAATACATGCCAGTTGCCAAGCACCCAAATTTTGATCATGGGATGCTGCAATGGTCATAAGTATGAAAAATGGTCATAAATCATTTTTCAGTGCTGTTATAACTTAAAATGTTTAATTTAGTGATCATTTGAAGTCAGGGACTATCTGTACTATATTTCTTCCAACTCTTGCCTCTGATGACAATGGTTTAGTTATAAATATAATGTTGTTGAATTGAAATGTAGTTTAAAAGACTTGATTTTTTTTCCTCAGGGCATCAGTGTAGGTACAAATACAATACCAGCTGGAATTCCTCGTGAGCCTTCTTTGCCAGTTTCTTCTGCTCTGCTAAGGACATCTGAAATATCTCCTTCCCGATCACAAGCTCCTAAGTAAGGATCTCATAATACAAAGCTTTGAACACATTGTTTTGAACCAACATTTCCCATCATTGAAAGGCTAGATATTATTCTGTCAATGTTGAACCATTTAATAAATGTCAGTGCTTGTGTAATAGCAGCTTGTATGAATTGTGCAAAAGCGCATACTGACTTACGGCTTGATTGTCAGTGTTGAGATAAATTATCTATATGTCTGCAAGATAAACAGTTTCTTACAATAAAGATAGATATGTTTTCTCCCATAGTAGTGATTTGCTAAGGAGCTGGCAGATATTATCTCAGAACCATTGCACCACATCTTTCATAAATCCTGGAACACCGGGGAAGTACCTGAGGATTGGAAAAGGACTGATGTGGTTCCCATCTTCAAGAAAGGGGAAAAAACGGACCCAGGAAATTACAGACCAATCAGTTTAACATCAATACCTGGAAAGATCCTAGAAAGAATAATCAAAAAACAGATCTGCGAACAACTTGAAGCAAACAAAGTTATAGCTAGTAGCCAGCATGGGTTGTTAAAAACAGATCATGCCAAACAACCTTATTTCATTCTTTGATAAAGTGACTAAACTAGTAGACCAGCGAAATGCTGTGGATGTACTATACTTAGATTTAAGTAAGGCATTTGATAAAGTAGACCACAACCTATTCCTTCTAAGCTAGAAAAAAGATGAAATAAACAATATCACCATCAGATGGATCTGTAGCTGGCTGGCAAACCGTACTCAATGAGTAGTCCTTAATGGTACTACATCTACATAGAGGGAAGTAAGCAGTGGGCTACTACAAGGCTCCGTCTTAGGCCCAGTACTCTTCAATATCTTTATCAATGACTTAGAGGAGGGAATTGAAGGGGAACTCATCAAATTTGCAGATGACACCAAACTGGTAGGAGTAGCCAACACCCCAGAAGACAAACTCAGTATCCAAACTTGAACAATGGGCCCTATCCAACAAAATGAGTGACAATGTCGAGAAAAGCAAAGTTTTACATTTAGGCAGGAAAAATCAAAAGGACAAGTACAGATTGGGCGAGACCTGGCTTAAAAACATTAACTGTGGACAATCACTTGACTATGAGCCAGGAGAGTGCAGCAGCAGCCAAAAAAGCTAATACAATCCTGGGTTGTATAAACAGAGTCATAGAATCAAGATCACGTGAAGTATTATTACCGCTTTATAAATCCTAGTAAGACCACACCTGGAATACTGCAACCAATTTTGGTCACCATACTACAAAAAAGATGTTGAAACGTTGGAAAAAGTTCAGAGAAGAGCAACTAAAATGATCAAAGGCCTGGAGACTAAAACATATGAAGAACGGCTGCAGGATTTGGGTTTTGGCTAGTCTAAAGAAAAGAAGAAATGGAGACATGATAGCAGTATTTGGGTATTTGAGGGGCTGACACAAAGAAGAGGGGATCGTGTTATTCACCAACGTACCAGAGGGCAGGACAAGAAACAATGGTTTGAAACTGATCAAAGAGAGAAGCAACCTGGAATTAAGGAGAAACTTCCTAACAGTGAGGACAATTAACCAGTGGAACAGCTTGTCCCCAGAAATCATGGGTGCTCCATCACTGGAGATTTTTAAGAAGAGGCTAGATAGTCACTTGTCTGAGATGGTATAGTCCTCCTGCTTGAGCAGGGGGCTGGACTAGAAGACCTCCAAGATCCCTTCCTATCCTATTCTATTCTATTCTAAAAATGTCACTAGCAGAAGATAGAATTGAGGTATTTTCATTATACTCACATGTTCCTTTCTATTATTTTGCAGTAATTCCAAAGCTGTGGACAAGCAGAAAGAAACTCGAAGTACTCAAAGACATTGTTGCATTGTTACTACTGCTTCTAAATCAGTACAAGTCAATGGTGATCTTCTAGCAGTAAGTGCATTTTGATTTTTATAAGAAGTTGATGAGAAGCTTTTGGCTTTTATATTTTCATTTTTATTTATATTAGAAGAGAGATTTGTTGCCATAAAAATACATCACACTGAACCATAATGTGATCCATTTTGTTTTGACTTAGTATATTATGCAAATCCGGCTCTCTGATACTTTTCAAAGAAGTCATCATGTTTTCAAAGTTCTCTCTAACCTCAGAATTCCAGTTGTCTTAGAGATGGCAGACATAGAAGTCTTAAAATTATGACATGCTGAATCGAAACGTTACAATTAAATACAGCATCAAAGTAGTCAGAATGTGGTGTATGGGCAGTAAAACCATTTTGTCAAAACCAGATATGTTAATATCTATCTTACATGCTGAGAATCAAGAATTAAACCATAATGAACCATTGTTATGCATGGCCAGCCATTTTAATTTAAACACTGGATTATGGTTCGCTCTTTTGTTTGAATTAAGCCAGTTGAGGTTTATTTATCAACCATGACTTACTACATGCCGGTTCATGTCTGATCATGACTGTTATAGCCATCCTCCTGATAGTTTGTTCTTATAGGTAGTCCTCAACTTACATCAATTCCTTTGAAGTTACAGTGACCAATCCCCAAAGTTATGGCCGTTTCAATACTCCTATTGTCACATGATGAGAATTCAGGGACTTAGTAGCACACCTGCACTTAAACCTTCTTCAATTACCTCCACCCACCTATCTCCCTCCATCTGTGCCTTTTTGGCACCCAGCACTGCACTTTTCCTGCTGTCCTAGTTGACCGTTGCCATCTTCTTGCTTCCACTGCTAACCAAGCATGCCTAGCCTTTGCGAGGCAACTACTGGCTGCACAAGGCTTTCTTTCCTGCTTGTGCCCAATGGTTTCCTCACAAGACCTGGGGAAGATGGCTTCACGTTGCCGACATTTGTCTTAGGAAGAGCTACCTCATCAGCAGTGGGACTAGGAAGATGGCAAAGATTAGCTGGGATGGCAGAGCACATGGTGATAGTGGCCTCAGAGTGCATTGGGACAAGGCTGAGGTTTTGTACTCTGCTGCTGGGGCTGGGCTTCGCATTGTGTTGTGGCTCAGGATCTGCTCTCAGGCCTAAAATTACAGCATACTAAGAAGCCATTTTGTTGCACACTGCTGGGCCGAGCTAAGGCTTCTAGAGTTGACGGCAGTCTCACACTGTAGTTCAGGATCTTCCTACAGACCCAGAGCTGCAGTAGGCCAAGAAGCTCTTGAGCTGAAGTATGGCAAGCAGCCCCAGAGTCACACAATTCATAGGATGGAGGGTGACCAAAAGCAAGGATTTCTATCACTCTGAAAATATTACGCTCTGATGCCCATCAGGGGTTCAAGATTCCAGTGCACAGTTGAATGTCTTTACTCTATTTATGTTTCAATTCTTCAGAACAACAAAATTTCTTAAGGAGTAACTCTTCATGCTGGAGAATCACAAATCTAAGCAAGACCTTCACCTTATTTTGTGCAAAATTAATATTTCTGATAATGATGAGATTGTTCAGTTTTATTCAATTTTATTTGTGTGTGTGTGTGTGTGTGTGTGTGTGTGTTTTTAATAAAGCAGGAACGGCGGAAACCTAGTTATGCAGAAATCTGCCAGAGGATCAGTAAGGAGTCAGCTCCGTTGCAGTCCCCAAAAGAACAGAAGCCAAACACAGTTGGTTGTGGGAAAGAGGAAAGGAAGCCCACAGAAACACTAGAAAGAAGCAAAGAATTGAAATCTAAAGACCAGTGGAGACCATCAGGACCCAGGTCTCCTCTTCCTCCAGCTACTGGGAAACGTCTGACTAAAGAACAGAGCACTTCTCCCAAATCTCCTCAGTGAAATTAGCACTTAGGATGAATTTCAAGAGGTTTTCACTATGAAGTTACCCCATGTTGACACTCAGAGTACAAAGGAGTTGCTGGTTAAAAGCTTGCAGGAGTTATGAAGTATATGAAAAGCTTGCTAGGTTTTTTTCATTGTTGTTTGTTGTTATTGTTTATTTCTTGTAAAATAGTTTTTTTTTCCCTTATCTTTTCTTACATCCTTATCATCAAATTCTCCTTGAGTAAACAAACAGTCAACTCTGTCAGGGTTTAATTAAACTTTATGTTAGGTTGGTGCTGAACTTAAGACGATGCCTAAAATCTTTTTTTTTTTTCATTAGATGGAAGATGCATTAATCTGAAATCCATTTTTTATGAAGCCTCCATGTGGCTGTATGAATACAAGCGTGTTCTAATGAGTTTTTTTTTCTAATTTACTAGACAGAACTGTGCTGCTGTATTTCTTTAAATAAATGGTTTATAAGTAGGAATCTTCAAAAAAAATCCTGAAGACTAATAATAGCAGCTAATACATAAGGTATAAAGCAGAACAGATGTTTTATAAAACAGACAAGTTTAACTTTTTTTTTTTTTTTTTTTTTTTTGAAATTCCAGTTGCTGTAGCAAATCAGCAAACAGGTTATACTTTTTTTTTTAAGTTTAAAAAATAAAACTGGTTCTAGTATTTATGTTCTTGGCCAAAGGAGAACTTCATAAAGGTCAACTGTGAATGTTCTCTAAATTATTTGTATTGATAGTCTGCAAGCAAGTAACCAGTTTCTCAGTCCAAGCTGAAATGATACCATGAATTTCAGGAAAAGGGGAAAAAGCACATTATGAATTAAATAAATGTACCTTTCTGTATGGCAGATGCAAGCTAATGGCAGTTTTTCACAAGATAGCACAATAGCACTCTTGTGATGAAGATTTCATTTTTTCCCCCTGTTCTCAGCTGAAGAAGCTAATTTTGAACCCTTTTCTGGTTGAACCCCTTCTCTTTGTAAGTTTTCAAAACTGTGTCCCAAATGCTCTTTGAAAGAGTTCATATCTTAATCAGCCTGAGTGCTGACACGTTCTGTAACTACCAACATTGGCATATGGATTTAATTATTATTATTTTTTAGTCCATGAACTGATGGCGTTTTTGTATGTGTGTGCATGTATGCGGAAGAAATACATTGCCCTGTATCCTGCCTGGGGTGAGATTTATCACACTTACTTTAGAAGCAACATGCTTCCTGAAGGATAAGACTGCACTTAAATTAATAAATTTCTAATAAAGTTGCTGGTAACTATTTTTGTTTTAAATACCTAAAGTTTTTACTTTCAGTGTTTAAGCAGCAGATGGTTCAGATCAAAAGGTGTTCCTGCTAAGTACAGTTTATCCCACCTACACACACCCACACCCACACACACCAAAAGATTTATTTAAACAACTGATTTTTTTTTACAAAAAAAGAACTATTTCCATCCAATCTTTAAAAACTTGAATTTTATTTAAACTTGAAAATGACTTTGCCTTAACTTTTGTATAAGACAGCTTAGAATTATTGAAGTCTGACCCTCTTAAGGGTTAGCACGGGGTGGCATATACCGAATTACTCAGTTACAGTATATATGTATTGTCACTGGTCTTACTGGGTAAACATACTCTAGTACAGGTTGTGGTGGCAGTTTTTGTAATATACCTTAAAAGATCTTAAGCAGTTGATCTTTTTCAAAATGTTGAAAAATCTGTAAATGGAAATAGTCAATACTGTATTAAAATGTGCACTTGGAAGTGTGTTATTTTGCTTGTACAGGTGTAAATAATCAGAACATATAAAAAGGTACCATTAAAAACTGATAAAAATTATTGATATATTATAAATGTTGCTGTTGAACTGGATGTAGATAACTAAGTGTTGTGGTTTGAATATTACTTTAATTTGTTTTTCCCTTGTTTCTTTTCTTTACTCTGATATGTTGAGCTAAGTCTGCCTCTTCACTGCTAAGGGGAATGGAAGGAAGTCTGTCTTTAAAAGTCCTGACCTTGTAAATACTTTCTGGAAGTTTTACATTTCATTCATATGGAACACAGGTGTGCAGTATAAATGTCAATTCCTAGGAGCTGAAATTTGTAGCATTATTTTAATGGGATTAGAAAGAAACAACATTGCCACCAGAAGCTCCCACCCCAAGTATACTCAACCTCTCAGAAGCCAACATGTTCGTAAAACTGGATTTAAATTTCCACATAACTACTTAAAAAAGCAAACAAACAAAAATCATAGGCAGTTGATCCCCTAACACAGGGGTAGGCAACCTTTGCTCTTTTATGACTCGGCTGGCTCAGGAATTCTGGGAGTTGAAGTCCACGAGTCATAAAAGACCAAAGGTTGCCTACCCCTGCCCTAACATAAGTTGCTGCTATTTATAATTATCCTTATCAAAAGAAAAACAAACAAACCATCTTGCTCCTTGCACTGCAGACTTTAAAGCGGCAAGTTGAGTCTTGTTTGTTATTTCCTGAGAAGACACACAAGCAGAGAGTCAAAGTCACCTTACTTAGCATTGGTTTAACATTGATCCTTCCCCCCCCCTCCCACGAGCAGTGACAGGCAGTGAGACAGGAGGTATGATTTAGGCCGGCTATGAGTTGTCTTTGTTTGCCTGCTGAAAGCATGAATAAAACAGCTGCAAACAAAGAGGTGGCCAGGACAAGCATAGAGCTAATCATCGGAGCTAGCTGATACAATAACTTTTGCAGGTCAGTAGATAAGACTGTATTTTTAATGAATTTGCTGCTGCTCTTTATACTAGGCTAATACACTGTAATTCTCACTCAAATAACAGTCTGTGACAAAAGTTTGAAACTTTACTGCGATGGCTTTTTTTTTTCTTTAAAAGAAAGTGTCATGCCAAATAATTTCTCAAGTAATTTTTAACATTCTCATATTCAAGCAGTTCAGGACAATTTAACAACACGGGCTATTTATGTTTAGCTATTCAGATCTGCCTTTTTTTAAAGTTTTTTTAAATTATTGAGTGCAGGTTAAAACAGGGAGAACCCATTGGAAATGGTGGACAGGAAGGGGTAAGACTACTTTGGTGCTCCTTGTATAGAATTATATAGGTTCTTCAGAGTCTGTTTATTCAAAGGATGCATTCAGATATAATTTTGTTTCTGCGTATTTAACATGTACAGTATTTTTGCCTTGGGATATCCTATCTACCATTACTACCCTTGCTCCAATTTTGCACCTAGTCAGAGAAACCAATAAATTGTCAAGCTCTTAATTTTGGTTCCTTTTTTTTCTGCCTCTCTTCTGGAATTAGAACTTGTTTCATTCCTTGGATGCAGTGCATTGTCACAGCCACTGATTGACCAAGGTTTCCAGTCGTTTCTATATCCCTTTCAACATGCTGTAGTTTTAGGGGTTACGGGCCCAAATCAGACTGCTAGCAGCGGACAATCAAAGGTTACTGCAAAGTGATAGCTGCCAAGTCATTAAAAGCAAAGATGTCATAGGGAGGCCGTATTTTTTTCCTGAAGGTGGGTTTTTAGTTCTTCTGTTTAAGACTGGAATCAAGCTTACATGTAAACTATTTGATAATTTAAGTTTCCTTTTGTGTCATAAAATGTACAACTGTCTAAAAATGTAGGTTATGAAAAATAAAAAATTTTAGCACTGTTGAGTTTCTCTCTTTTTTTAAAAAAAAAAATTAAGTCTTTAAAACTGTTGTCTTTGCACTCACTTATATTTAGGCTTGTTGCAACAAAGACCAAGATTAGGAGTTCCTTTGCTCCCTTCTTGGGATTGTCTGGTGCTCTGACAATGTGCCCATTTGTCAAGCAGTTTGCTCTTTGGTAATGTTTGACTCCATAGACAACACTGACTCCCTCAGCTAAGAATCGAAGATGAGCCAGACACAACTGGACAGGGGAAACTTTACCTTTAATTTTTTTTATTTAGCTTTTGAAAGGCAATGGTTTATCTTAAAATGATTGGCTTTGCCCTATTTCAAAGCTATTTGCCAGATTTGTTTTTAAGAACCTCAATTTTCTTAATCGGCCCTCTCATATATGGGCATTGTGGGACTATGATACCTATGCTAGAATTTGTTCACAAGCCAGTGTAATCAAATTGTAAATTATGCTGTTTCCCTCTATGGTTTTTTTTTTGGGGGGGGGTTAATTCTCCACGGTAATTTCAGACATTTGCTACTAATACAGTGGTGGCGAACCTATGGGCACGCGCACCGTCACCCCAGTACTAGGCCTTCAGCTGGGTTTTATAAAACCTTTTCGTTTTAGGCCTCCGCCACCGTGTGCAAAAAAAAAAAAAAAAAGATTCAATCAGTCAATTTTAACTTCTCGTGGGGAAAAAAAAGATCTTGCAAAGTTGGAATTGATTGATTGAACTTTTTAGTCCCACCCAGTCTGCCATTACCACTGCAGCCACGCCCACCCAATGGCCACACCCACCCGGCACCTGATGATGCATAAGTGGGTTTTGGGTTGCAGTTTGGGCACTCGGTCTCTAAAAGGTTCGCCATCACTGACCTAATACATACCTTACCATCAGAACAGACAGTATTAAATCTTTGTTCCTTTCAAATATCAGTGATGAAACTGCTCTTGGCAAGTAGCTTTATACATCTCTTCCAGATGAAGGAAATTCAAAGTTCCAGGAGAGCAGCCTATTGGAATTCCTGCTCATTATTCCAGGTAGAAAGATGCGGAAATCTGTTAGAGCTGTGTTTTATAATAATTAGGTGGGCGACTTAAAGTATTTGAATAAAGGTCTAGCTGCAACTAAGACCTCATTCATAACTGCTGTGGGCGAGTTCTTTGGTGCCCACCAAGATTTCAATTATTCCTGGTTTTTATTCTGAGGCCAGGCATAGGTGGGAGAGACTTACAAGCAACTTGCAACCTTTCTGGTTTTCCCCATTAACTGCTTGTAGGAAGCTGACAGAGAAGGTCACAAATGATCACATGACCGTGGAGCACTGCAACCATCATAAGTGCGAGCCAGTTGCCAAATGCCTAGATCAGATCACGCAGGAAGCTCTATTTGTGCAAGCAGCAGGAGCACGTGCATGCAAATGGAGATGCATGTCCATGTACCATCCCCTCTACCACCAACCCACACTGGTTTGTAAAGCTAGAAAGGTTGGGGACTGCTGGCCTAGATCATGATAGTTTGACTGCAGGGGTGGTGCAATGGCTGTAATTTCAAGCCCAATCATAAGTACTACACCTTCAGCAGCTTCAAATAATTGCAAGCAAGGATTGCCTATAGTTTAATGACACAGCCAGGCACATCAACCTCTAT